GCAGCATCAGCACGGGATCTGGACGATCAAGATCAGCAAAGTCGCAAGGAAATTCTGCCCCCGCATCACGAAACGTTGTTACCGTGACGACTTCATCGAGTTCCGTGTCACCCACGTCAGCCAGCGTTGTATCGTGGAGCGGCTCCTCACCGACAATGTAGCCGAATGACGTGCTCGGTTGCGTGCCCAGTATTCCCCATCATGAGGCTGTCATCGGCCACAACCCGCACAGTGTCTACACCACTTGCAAGACCTGCAAGAAGAACGCTTCATGGCTGCTTCGGCATTATCATTTCGGCAACCCTGATTTCACGATTTTCCCAGATAGTGTGATGGATAACCTCATGGGCCGCTGGTGGAAACTCACAAGCAAAAACTGCTGGCGAGGATCTGACCTGACGGACAAACCAGCGAAGCCAAAGAAAGAAAAACTAACCCTTTTGTTTCCGGACGGCAGGTTGGCCGATCAGACCAGCAATGTTCAACTGCTCAGATTTCATACCCGGCTACTCAACGTAAGTCCGCATTGCTGCTCAAATTTCGTGTTCGGCCATTCATGCGTTAGTCCGCATTGCTGCTCAATTTTCGGATTCGGCCATTCATGCGTTAGTCCGCATTGCCGCTCAGAGTTCATACCCGGCTAAAGATTTACGCTAGTTCGCATCGCTGCTTAGATTTTACGCCCGGCCAGAGATCCACGCGTAATTCCGCGTATGTGTTTGTCGAGCATTCGTTTAGTGCGCGCAGTTTTTTTTAGATGTGATGACGATCGCACCCGTTCTGCATGTAGATCTTACCTCGATAAGATGGCCATGTCTTTTGGGTTCTGTCGCTTCGCGATCGAACCCTTGCCATCGTTAGCTTTGCCTTTGACTAAGCGCCAGCGGCGCTGAGAGCTGAGGATGCCTTGTATGCCGTGCAAGCCGTTTGCTTGCTATAGATCGTCTCGATAATCATCTCCCTGTTTGCAATGAATTTCCGGCGAGTGACTCGTTATAGCCCCCGCTCAGACGCCCGAGACGGCGAGTAGGAGCGCGAATCAAGCTCACTCCCCAGAAATGGAAGAGGCCCGAGAGGGTTTCGCCAAGACGCCCCGAGGAACCTGTGGTTTCATTCCTTGCTCTACCGCCGCCGTTTTTGTTTCGAACTAAGGCCCTTGGCCTTAGAGCTGCGCCCCTCGCCGCGCGAGTGAGAATATCAATCGCATATCTTCCATATCACGCATGCTACGGTTTCAACATGGCCCATGGCGACTACTCCGCCCTGACCGTTCATATACTGATGTGTAGAACTTGCTTGCAGGAAAGCCAGCGCCGATGCGCGCGCCAGAATGCACTCATGTTTTGGTAACGCGGGAACCTGAATGCTAAGTTGAAGCTACAAGGGCGAGCGCTGAGGCAACAACTGGACCAATTCAACGTCACGTCTGCGCCCCTCCCACACCGGCAATCGTAATGCTGGCAAAGCGCTGTGATCATGCAGGATGGGCCAGCACCGCCGCGCGCGCGGCGGAGCCATCTCACCCGTTTGTCACGGGCAGAACAAAATGTTCAACTTGTTTGGAGAAAGTGTCGAACTGGAAATACAATTGGCGCGCGACCATGGCCCACTCGGGCTCCCAGCTCAACGCGGCGGCCACCCCACTCTGACGAGTAACGCAATACAGCACAGTCTGACTGGCCAGACTAGGTTATCCGCGGGCGCGCGAATGCGCTGGACCGCCCGACTAGTACCAGCCCATGTTGCATCGAGCCTTCAACATTGAGAAGACCAAATGAAACAGACAGGATCACGTTGCGAGCACACAAGAGTTCCTCGCGCGTGCCGCTCACAAGCCTGGCCGAACGCGCGGCCTTGGGCACCCGGGATGGCTGGGGTGCGGAGAAAAGGCCAGCGCGCGAGCGCGTAGCCTTCCTGTCACACCCCGCGTGGCCCGGGACTGACGCGCGGGCGGCGGCCGCAGTATGCGTTGTTGTGTCTTTCTTCTTGCGCGGGGTAACCTCACAGGCCGCCGCGCGCGAGGCGGCCCTGGATGGAGGCTGTGCGCACACACAAACGTGCACGAGCGCGCGGCGCGCCTGTGCGCACCTTCAGGCGCGCGCGCACATGCCCATCCGTAGCCACTTGGGCTCGAGGCTGTGGGCCGCCTGGCAACCACGAGCCCGTTCGCTTGCGGATCTAAGCGGAAAGAGGGTCAGCGCTCCAGGGCCAACCCCCAACACAATCAGAATCGCTTCGCTCGTGGCTGACGTGGCCGTCAACGTCCTCGGGGGGACAACACCTGCATGGACCCGCGATCGCAGCTGCCGTGCGGCAAAAGCAAGGGCGCCCGTGGGCGGAGGGTACCTTCACTTTGGCGGAGGCGCAGGGTCCCGCGGTGTGCAGTAGATTATTGTTCGGAGGCGGTGGCAAGCCTTACGCCTCAGTGTGGACGCGGCCGCACGAACCCCTCGCAAAACTCAGGCCTGAAAACCAGCAAGCGCGCGGGGGGAGCCCAAGGCACCCTGAAAGCAGCAGCTCCTTCAACGGCCGCGGAAGTCACCGCGCAGCACGCGGAGCGAAGAAACCCAGGGCACCCTGACGAAAAGGGGTCTTGATGCACTTTCCTACCGTACGGCGCCTTCGCTCACCAGCTCAGGTGCAACCCGTGCAGAGTGGCGAAAGGAGAGGCGTTCGTGGGCAACGTGGACGATTGTGAGTCCTGTGGGCGCGCAGATCGATGCCTCCTAGATGGGGTCGGAGTAGGTGGGGTCGGAGGGTCGCGCCGCATCGCCGATACATCGGCGAGGTATCGGCGATTCACTGGCGATGCATCGTCGACGTCGGCGATGCATCGGCGACATCGACGTGACGCAAATCGGGCTCCACATCGAGCCGCATTGCCGATGCATCGGCGATGCGGCGCGATCCTCCGACCCCATCTATGAGACCTTGAGCAGAGCGCCAGCTACCTGCGATTGCCGCGCCCTGTGAAGGACAGACGCGCCGATGAGGTGGTCGAGTTCAAGGAGGCCGCCTTCCCCAAACAGCAGCCTGCCGCCCAGACTGCAGCCTACGAGCTCGGCCTCAAGGCCTTGGGCGGCCCAGGTGAAGAATCCGGGGTGATCGGCGAACCTGTGGAGATGGCGCCCCAGCGGATGCAGACGTCGGTCCCGCAGGCCGCGCGCAGAACTCTGAGACCAGCACGATCCTGGGCCAGCTCCGACGATCCGTGACCCTGACGTGCAGGCCGCCGCCACCAGGCTTCGAGTGGAGAAGGAACGCCTCCACGTCGAGGAGTTGCAGGACAAGCCCGTGGCGACGCAACTGCAGCTGCGGCGCGGCAAGAGCGCGAAGGCAAAGGTGGCCATCTGCAGGACGAGCGACGTGGGCCTGCCGCCCCATAATCGCGCGGCGGCGGCACTGCCACTCGCTGCATGCAAGCACGCAGTGCGCGAGGGGGCAGGGCCGCCGCGCGCACCGCGGCCTTGGCGATCTCTGACTAGAAACGGGGGGAAGGGCCGCCGCTCGCCGCGGCCCTGGCGAGCTCTGGGCCCCCGCGCGTGCCGTGGCTCTGGCGAGCTAAAAAATGAAGGCAATCTACGCGAGGGGACAGGGGCACCGTGCGCGCGGCAGCCCTGGCTCACCCTGCGCGGGGAAGGGCACTGAGCGAAGAGGGCGGGGGGTGCTGCGCGTGCTACGGCCCTGACCCAATCTGCGTGGAACAGCAGGGTCCGCGAGGGGTCAGGGTCGCCGCGCCCGCGCTGCGCGGAGAAACCCCGCGCACGAGGGGGCTGGCCCGCCACCTGCCGAGTAGCTGGTGGTATGGAACAGCGGAGTTTGTGACAGGGCAGGGCCGCCACGCGCGCGACGCGGCCCTGGTGCAGTCGATGTACAAAGCTCCAGTTTCACTGACCACATAATGGAAAAAAACGTCTGTGCACTCCAAAGCTTGCGTGTGTGACAAAGCCTGCCTGAATCACACTGGCCTGTTACAACACAGGGTTTGTTCAACATCACCACATAGCCACATAGCAGCTGCGCCATAGGGAAGATGTACGCCGCGAGGCATGGTTACATCACGGGGCCTGCGTGCGTCACCTGGTCAGGGCCCGCGGGCATCACACGGCCTATACCAAATACAGCACGGCCTGCGTACACCACAAGGCCATTGTACGTCGCATGGGCTGCGTGCGCCGCATGGTCTTTGTCCACCACAAGGCGCGCGTGCATCACAACAGGGCCAAAGTACATCACAGTGCATGTGCACATCGTGGGCCTTGGATATGTGCGTCGCGGAGCTCTGAACATAACAAGGCATGCGTCTACCACAGACCCCATTGGCACTTGGGCGCTTTGCAATCACAGGACCTGCGCACATCAAAGGCGAGGGTGCACCGCACGGCAAGTGCACCCCACACCACCTGCGTGCGCCACAAAAATTCTGCACTCCACGGGGCAAGTGGGCACCACCAGACCCGCGTGTACCCCAAGGCCCGTATGCACCACGGGGCCAATGTGCACCTCACGGCCTGCGCGCTCGCCACAGGCGCACGAGACCGCTCATATCGCAACCGCAGGGGCTGCGAACTTACACCCTGCAGCTCCTGCGCGCGGCGCACTGTGCGAGAAGAGTCAATAGGCATTCGGGGGGGACCGCGCGGTTTTGGGACGTGGATCGTTCTCCACCGATGTTTCGGGCGACAGTGGCCTCCAGCGCTATTGATCGCACCCACGGAGCAATAGCGCTGTAGCAAGAGGGGTACGATCAAAAACACTGCATCGGCGCGGGCTTGCGGTGCGATCTTTCCCGGGCGCGCCCTCGTGGAGTTGCGGGCCGTGGTTTTGCGTCGAGGGGTGGAAGAGACATGCACCCGAATGTTACCGGCAATTCCCAGAACATGCGGAAAGGAGGCCACGGAGACACGGGGGACACTCCTCGTTTCCGGGCCACGCGCCCGCATCACCCTGTTTAGGGCAGTCTGCCCGTACGTAGACTCCTGAGCCTTTTCCCCCAAGTCCTCGAAACGCAGCGCATCGGCCGCCCGATCGTCGAGCCTGGACTTCTGGATGAACTCGTCGACCTCGGACCGCAGGTCCTTCTCGGTGGCGAGCGAGGGGGGAAGTGAGAAGGGGCGGGCCTCCTCAGAAGGCTCGGGAGTCCCCTGGCCTTCTGAAGCGTTTTGTAAACCTCCACCAAGGACACAGAGACCTTCTCAGAAGGCCGGACGGTTTCTGATAAGCACCGCCGCCTTCTGAGAAGGCCATTTCCTTCTCACTTCCCCCCTCGCTCGCCGCCGACCTTCGACTGCCTCCCCTGCGCCACTGCGGCGGCCGCGTGCTTCCTGATGCCCTGGACCACTGCCGCGCGGGAGCGCCTGCTGGTGGCCGCGCAGGAAGCAGAGAAACAGACGGCGTTAGAAACACAAACCTCCAGGGGCCCGCGCGGGTTTCTCGGATCCGCGCTCTGCCCTCCTTTTCACCCAATACCTATAGCAACGTTGGGCGATAAGGATGCAAACCCCTTGGCCGCCCATGTCGAAGCCTTTTGAGCGGGGTTCCCCATGCAATGGTACCCTTAAAAATCGGTCATCCACCCCCAAAAAACTCCCAAGAGGCCTCTAGGAGGGGCCCGGAGAGGTCCAAAAACTGCTTCCCAAACGCCCCCGGGACGCCTCCCACGAGACCCCGTGTGCCATCCGCGCGGCTTCGCACCCGCAGCCCAAGCACGGTGGCGGGATGCGCCGAAGACCGTTCCATCCGCCGCCCCCTGTTGGCTTGCTACAAAAGTGCCGGACGTTCTAAACGTTACCGTTTTTGTCCCAACAATCCTGTGGTGTTGGGTCAACGTTTTGAGCGCCCCGCGCCACTCCTCCTCCTTCCCTCCACCGTCCTCCCTCCTCCTCCTCCCCCGAAAGCAGGCTCGATGTAGGCCTGGGCGGCTCGGGTGTTTTTTTCACAAGGACCCCTTTACTTAGAATTCCATACTACGGATTCCTTAAAAGGTTGTCCTTAATAAGTGTTCCAGACTAAAGATTCCTTACTCAGGAATATCGCACTAAGGACTACTTCGCTTAAACTCCTTAGTAATGACTCCTCAATGAAGATTCCGTACTAAGGATCCCTCACTAAGGACTCATTACTGAAGATTCCTACTCGAAATTCCTTCGTAAGGATTCAAGACTTCCTGAATTAAGAGACCTTATTTAAGAATCCTTACTAAGCCAGAAACCCTTACTTCACAAGAAATCTGCACGAAGGACTTCCATTTTTTTAGAATTCATTACTAAGCATTCCTTACGACGCATTCCTTAATGATGACTCCTAAGGGTTCTTCAGAGAATTCCTTACGAAGGCTCCTTATCAAAAAGTAGTTGCGCGAAAGGATCCTTACTAAGGATTCCATAGTACGGGTCACTACGAAGGATTCCGTACTAAGGATTCCTACTTAAGGATTCCTGACTGAGGATTCCTTAGGAATGATTCCTTCGTACGGAATTTCTCGTTCAGGATTGCAAGGCAAGGGCTCCGCATTAAGAATTTCCGAGCGAGGAATCCTTACCACGGACTCGCTACTAAAGAGTCCATCGTACAGATTCCGCACTGAAAGTTCCGCTCTATGGATTCCTCATTAAGGGTTCCTTACTGAGGATTCCGTACTCAAGAATCCTGGCAACAAATCCTTACCAAAAGGTCATACACCCAAAGGGGAGTAAGACTTTCTCACTACGGGTTCCATAGTACGGAAACCCAACGAAGGAATGCTTAGCAAGAAATCCTGAAACCAGATTTCTTAACAAAGGAAGAAACGAATCCTTAAGAATGAACCCTTAAATGGCCCTTAACGAGGATTTCCCTAATAAAGATCATCATTAAGGACTCCTGAGCAAAGATTGATTCCTCACTGAGGATCCCTCACTAAAAATTACAACAGAGGGCTTCCGGATTGAATATTCCTTACTACAGATACCTTAAACAGGATTCCTCACGGAAGACTCGTTAGGAGCATCCCTCACGATGGATTCCTAAATACGGGCTCCTGCAAAAGGTTTTCCCTGAACTACTTCCTGTGTAGCAATTGTTTGCGAGGGCTTCCTGGCGCTGGATTCTGCGCTGAGGACTCATCCTTGAGGCGCCCTCACTAGGGGTTCATTATTGGCGCTTCCTCTCTAAGGACTGCTCATCCAGAACTCCTGCATCAATGAGTCCGCCGATCCGGCGCGTGAGTTTCAAAGACCCTCAGAACAGCCTGGGCCTCAATTCCTGAGCTTCCGCTCTACTGGGGGGCAGGCGCAGGGGCGGCTTTGCCGGGGCAAAGGGAGGGGGAGGGGGGGGGAAGGGGGGAAGGGGGGGGGGGAACGGGGGGGGGGGGGGGGGGGGGAGAGGGGGGGGGGAGGGGGGGGGGCGGGGGCGGGTCGATGTAATTCCCGGGGCAGAATTGGAGCTCCAGCCCACTCAAGAGCGCCCGCCTTGCCCAGGAGGGCACCGACATGGGCCAGGAGGGCCCCGAGTTGCCGAGCGATCTCTACAAGGCGCCCAAGATGTCCCCGAGACAACTCCAGCAGCACCAAAACGGCCGCAGATGGCTCTAAGGTTGGCCAAAACGGCCCAAGAGGCCTCCAAGAGGGCCTCCAGGAAGGCCCAAAGATACCAAAATCATTGATGTCATTATGTATTTGAAATACTGTCATTCTGCTTGGTTTCGGCCTACCGACGGCTCGAGACGGCCCAAGAGCCCCCAAGTATCGCCCCACGATCGCCCAAGAGGCCTCCAGGATGGCACCAGAACGGCCCCAAAGGCCCCCAAGACGACGACCCAAGAGGCCTCCAAAACGACCAAGATGGCCTCCAAGACGGCCCTGGAGTGGCCCAAGAGGGCCCCAAGTCGGGCCAGAGAGGCCCCCAAGACGACTTCCGACGGCGTCAGACGGGCTAGGAGCCCACCAAGACGGCCAAAGTGGCTCCCGAGAAGCCCTCAAAGGCCGCCAAGAGGCCCAAGTAGGCTCCCGAGATGCCTCCAAAAGGCTCCCGGGAAGCGCCCAGGAGGCCCCAAGAGTGTCCCCAGAGGCTCCCAAATGCTCCCTCCTCCTCCTCCTCCTCCTCCTCCTCCTCCTCCTCCTCCTCCTCCTCCGCATCCTGCTCCTCTTCCCCGCCATCATCCCCCAAGTTTTTCCCGAAGGGTTTCCACAACGGTTGGGGGAACACGTGGTCCGATAGCTTGGCAGAGCTCTTGCCACAACGCTCGGCCACATGGGCGATTCTAGAAGGCAGAGGGCGGCGGAGATTTGCCGTAGGCGTCTTCGATTGTCATGATTCTGGATATGCCCGCCGTTAGTACACGTGGGTTCTCGCCCGTGCCCTACAGTAGATGTGTGCACGGCGAACGCTGAACATGTCAGCAGCAGAAACCACAACTGCCGGTGCGGGCTGTGCCGCGATTGCCGTGGGCCCTGGCTGAATCTTTGGCGAGCACGCGGTAGATTGTCCAAAAAGGCCACGACGCCAAATCCCCCGAACCCTTGTGGTGTCATCTCCGTGTGAGATGCTTACCCCTACCCCAACCCGTCCCCTTGGACTCCGGTCCCGTCGATCTGGAGGGATATGGGTCCGCCCGGATTCCCCGGACCCGGCCCCAACGCATCATGGAAGGATAGAGGGCTCCACAACGAGCCCAGCGGGCCCCAAGAGGTCCCCAAGACGGTCTAAGAGGGCCTCCAGTAGGCGAAAGATCATCAAGGACGGCCAAGATGGCCTCTAGACGGCCCAAGGCGCCCCCAAAACGCTCCAAACGGCTTCCAAAGGAGGCCCCAAGATGCAACCTTCACACATTTCCAATCAGTTTTTGGAAGATTTTAGCGTTCTCGCCTCGTGTGCTTCCCGACGCTACACGACGGCCCAAAAGGCTCCCAAGATCTCCCCAAACGGCCCCAACGGCCTCCAAGCCCCAAAGACGGCAACAGAGGCCTCCGACACGGCCCAAAAGAGCCTTTATACTGCCGACAGAAGGGCCCCAAAGGGGAACCCGCGCCCGCATTTCGACCCCTCGGCCCCGAAGCCTCCATGAAGCTCCAAGAGGACCCCCGTAAGCCCCCATGAAGCGCCCAATAGGGCACCGATAAGCCCCGAAAAGGCGCCCGAGAAGCTCTCAGGAGCAACACACCATAACCGCCAATTCCCCAAAGGATCGATTGTGCGGCGTAAGCTCAATAATCACGACTGGAACCCTATACGCCGTATCTGCGTGCGGCATTTTCCAAGCCGGATCGATCCGTGAGGGTCCAGGGGCCCGAAACAAAGCAAACATCGCCCAACGTAAACAAACATGCGGCACCTGGATCTGGGGGAACGCCGAGAAACCTCGAACACGAAAACCCTGGCCGAGCGGGGCCGCCGAGGCCTGATAGGCGCGTCCTACCCGACCCCCGACGCCTTGGCTGTTTCACGATGCAGCCACCCAGAGGTGTGGACCCCTTCCCCACGACCAACTTGTGCTCCCGAGCCGTTCACGGTCCCGGGAAGCATGTGCATCATGTGTGAAACTGATGTTAAAACAGGTTCCGCGAGATTAGCATCTACTAGAGTCTATCAATGTCCCTATTAGCGCCTATTTGCGCCAACTCACGCCTAATATTATCCTGGCGCCAATTGGCGCCTAATAACGACCACTCATAAACGCTAACAGCCGGGGAAGACCACAACTCATGCTGAAGCTTACCATCGCGCACAACACACCTAAGCGACGGCCCCCTCCAGAGGCTGAAGTCCACAAGCCTCCCATCGTGTTTCTGTTCACGACGCCGCCGAAGCCTGATGGGCGCGTCCTGCGGCGCGCGAGAGGCGTCGCCCGCTGGCCTGCGGACACAGCAACTGACCACAACCACATCGAGAACACACACTGGGGATGTCTTGCGCATGCCAGAACTTGTCGGAACACCGACGCCAGCCTCGTGCACTGGCTGTGGTCCATGTGGCGTCCCAGGACGGCCAGATCGACCACGAGTGCTCCTGTCGAGGTCGGTGGGTTCTCCCCACGAGTGCTCATGTCGAGGTCGCCGGGTTCTCCCCCGAGGGGCCCTCCCAAAACATCCACCTAATTGTGGCAGCGGTTCTTTCAGCACTGTGCCCGGAGGGCCGCGCGCGCGCCGCCGCCGCCCACGGGCTCGCCGCGGGGCGCCGGGCCGCGGCGGGGGTCTTCGGCGGCGCGCGCTGGGCGCCCCCCGCGGGGGCTGCCGGCCCCGTGGGTGGGGCGCGGTGCTGCCGCTCGGCGGCGGCGCGCCAGAGCCCCGAGGTCCTGTCGGAGGTCATCAAGACGCGTGTTGGAGAGCATTCTCTTATTCGCGGCGACAGCGGGCGTTATGTGTGGGGGGGGCCGGGGGGGGCGGCGACGGGGCACAATGCAACGCCCCCGCCCAAACCGTACTGTCCGGGGGCAGAAGGGGGAAGAAAAACGGGGCGGGCCTTCTCAGGAGGCCTCTGGCTTTCTGTCTGACAAAGTTCCGAAACACTCCCCGAAGATACGGGACACTTCTCAGAAAGCCAGAGGGTTTCCGAGAAACCCCGCCGCCCTCTGAGAAGGCCTGCTCCTTCCCACTTCCCCCGAGAATTGAGACAACGGTCAGGGGGCGGGCCCTTGTCGCCACAGCTGGACGCAGCTCGAGAAACTAGTACGTTTCGACCCTGATCGGCTTCGAGCTGCCGTTGTCCCACTTCGCCCTGCTCGGAGTGTTAGCGCGAACGTGTGCTTGTCCGCCGAAGCCCCCTGAAACCACGCGGGCGGTGCGATGAGGGCCGGCCACGTCCTGAGGACCACCCCAGCGCCGCATGTTTTCACACTGGGCGTTTGTTTCGCACGCTCGTGGGCCACGGGGGCCCCCCCACGAATCGGCGCGACTCGAGAAGCATGCCACAAGAGGATGGGGTGCGACTGCGACCCTCGACTGTTGCAGTTTTCTCGCGACGTAGGATCTCGGGGGGGCGGTGCACGAGGCGGGCGGCATTCTGAGAAGGCGCGGGCGGGGTGGTCCGAGAGGGCGCGGGCGGCTTCTCCAGACACCCTCCTGGTCTCCAGGTGGAGAGGCCTCCCTGAGAAGGCCCTTCGCCCCTTTGCCTTCTTAAGGCTCGGGGGCGCACAAACATGGGTTAGTGATTATCCCCCAAACACACAGCCATCGCCGTGTGACTCAGACCCGTCGCAAATCCACGAGTCTTAAATCCAGGTTCGCGTTCCCTCCCATGAGCCCCCCCTGTCTTCTGCTGTAGCTTCAAGGATGGGGCGCGAAAGACAAAAACAAAATCCCGAGCTGAATTTGTACTTTTTGAAGCCACTCGTTCTTCAAGCCCCATCCTTTAAGGCCCCATCTTGAAAACCCGCTTCCCATGGGGCAATGTTGCGTCCCGGGCCCATTGTTGATAGCCCCGGGGCCCGGTCGCGGGCCAAAAAGGCCGAGATCGGGGAACAAAACTGGGACGGAAACGGGCATACCTTCGGAGATCTGGGAAAAATAACCGCCTGCCCAACGGCTTGCCCGCCTGCGTGGTTCGCTCCGCGGGCCTGCTTCGCCCCGCCTGCGCGCTCGCCGCTGTCACGACGCAGCACAAACTGCCGGGAAGGACCCCCCCCCCCCGCATTCTGGGAGCCGCGTGTTGCTAGAACTGTCCCCTGCCCCGGGTGCCCGGATCTCCAGAGAGGCCCCCAGGGCCTCCAGAGCAAGGCTCACAAGGACCCCAGGGTGCCCAAGATTGAGCGAAAAACTGGGAGCACCTGGAACTAGGGGCACCTTGAGCAACACCCGACCCTCTCCGTCGCCGCGCAGAACAGACTGCATGCAACGAGGCCCCCCCGCCCTCTGGGGGGGGGGGTCGCGTCCACCCTCCCTGGGGGCGCCGCCCCTTCGATGCGTTGCGTCCGCGGGTTCCTGGCCCGCCGCTCGCGGGGGCGGCGAGTCGGGTCGGCGCCCTCCGCGGCGGCGGCGTCGGCCTGCCGAGGGGGCGGGGGGGCGACGAGAGCGCGGAGGAGGATGAGGAGGAGAACGAGCAGGATGAGGAGGAGGAGGAGGATGAGGAGGAACGCCCGAAGGAACGACATCCGCTTCGAAGTTTGAGGTTACCAAGGTTTGGGCGATGATGATGGTGATGGTGATGATCCACTCGTTCCTCAGTGGTCAGGACGATTGAAAAAAACACGCACCGTCCTCCTCTTCTTTGCGATGGCCCGAGCCCTCGCGGAAAGAAGGGGGGCGATTGCCGCTTGACCCCACCTCTTGTGAGCTCGGAGGAAATTGAACGCAGAGATTGCAAGGTCATGCGCGATCAGAGCGGAGCAGAAAGCGACGCCCTCCAGGGACGGCCGAAGGCAAAGCAGCAGTCTATCTTCGGGCGACCAGGCGCAATAATCTTCGGGAAGACCAGGAAGGAGACGAGACAGCTGGGAGAGCAAAAGCGGGCATGATAAATAGTGCAAGACATGATCGCCACCCATCGCGTTACATCCGAAGCGGCAGGCTTGGAGACCTTGGTTGAAGCGGGCAGAGGTGCACCAGCCATTACATATGTATCTCAGATATGCCGCACAAACGAAGGGGGCAATGTCACCAGCAACTTTTAAAATTTTGAAAGCTCGGTCAGAACGCCACAGCTGTATATTGGGCCAAAACTTCCTCAGCCTGGGAATAAGAGCAACTGCCATAGGGGCCCAACTCAGAGATTCACGATGTTTGAGCACCTTGAGGATCCTCTTCTGGAGCATGGACATGTCGGGGTCGGAAGGGATACTGTGGATGGCTTGAAAACGTTCAAACAGACAACAAAGGGACCCAGCCATGGGCTCTCGAACCCAATCAACCCTCCGAGGCACAGCAAGTCGGTCCACTTCGTCATCACGGAGCTCGCGCCAGCGATCGTATATACGAGGAAAGGCCTCGGACCGAAGACACACACGATACATGGCAGCTTGATTCTCGAGAGTGACCGAGCGGAACTGGACGGGCAGACCGATCTCGTCCGTGTGTGCCAGCACGAGTGAAGGCACAGCCCACCTCGGGCCTGCCGTCAGAAACTGATGAGCGTCTCGCTCAGCGCGGAGAACAGCGGCAGGCGCGGGAAGAAATCGAGCAGGGAAGCTGAGCAGAGGAAACCCGAAAGTGTTGTAGGCATAGATGTTTTGGGTTCGACCCAAGGCGAGACCACGAATGTACTGGAGCCGACTTTTGAGCTTTCGCAGGGGACCGATCCAGCTCCGCTCGGGGCCGCCTGGCCCCACCATCATCCCCGGGTATCTAGCCGACGTTCCAACTTGGAAAGATGAAACATTGAGCCCGGCTCCCTGGAACATGGTAGCGATCTCGGCCTTCTCGAGGCCGCCTGGGAAGACGATGACGCACTTCTTCGGGTTCAGCACAAGGCCAGTGGCCGACGCTGCCTTCGTCATGAGGCGCACCACTATCGGGAGAGACACCAACAAATCCTAAGAGAGCACCCCGATGTCATCCGCGAAAGCGAATGGCCTGCCTGGATTTGGACTCAGAGCTTTTTCCAGATGTCGGACCAGAGGATCAAAACATAACGCGAAAATAACCCCGCTCATCGGACATCCTTGCTTCACCCCGCGGAGGATCTGGAAACCAGCAAAAGCCTGTCCTCTGAGCACAATCGCAGTGCCCACATGCTTATACAACTCACTGATGGCAAAGAGGAAGTACCTCGGCACTCCTAGCTTCGAGAGGCAGCCAAAGATCCAGTCATGATCAAGCGACGGAAACGCAGCCGCGATGTCGAGCAGGAAAAGCCCGGCTCGCTGACAGTCTTGAAATGAGAAAAAGTCGATCAGTTGGGACTCCATTTCCAGAATATGGTCGAGCATGTTGCGTTTTTAACGAAGCCCTTCTGGGAGGGAGAGACAGAGTACTGAGCCTGTACAGCGAGCGGATCAGCTAGAGCTGCAGCCAGCACCTTGTTGTCACAGTTGGAGAGAGAGAGATAGGACGGGTTGCTCCAGCGGCCCGTGAGAGATCAAACTCCTGACGAAGATCACCACCCTACCCCTCCTTCGGGATAAAGACAGTGAAAGTATTGTTGAATCCCTCCTTCATCTCCTTACAGTCTAAGAGGTCGGAGTAAAGGGAGAACAGGCACTGGTGGCAGAGCTCGCCGCCTGCTTTCCACGCAGCATGTCCAATGCCGTCGGGACCTGGGGCAGATTCCTTTCTGGCGGCGAGAACACCTACGAACTCGTGATACATGAGCCTCCACTGGATCCCAGGCGAGACCTGCTGAACCTCCTGAAACAACCAATGCTTGACCTCCTCGTATTTCGGCCCACGGGCACGCTTGGCGTGGACCTCACCCCAGTGGTTCGCCAGACTGCGAGCACTGTTGGCCAGAGACCCAGACGCACCACCCCCAGGGTCGGGCACGTGACACGGCGTGAGACGACGACGTTTAGGAGACCATAGCCTGAGAAGATCGTGCAGCTGAGATGGCCGTGGGTCGGCATTCGAGGCATTGGGGTTCTCGGCAAAGAAGTCGCTGATCTCAGCGTACAGGATATCACTACACACTCCCTGCAGATACTTGTGAAACGCCGAATAGTCGGAGCAGCACGCGCTCTCCTCGTCATAGAACTGCTGCAGAACGGGCAACGACCGAAGGCACCTCTTAGCCAGCGCCTGATTGCCATTTTGAGTCGCCCGCATAAGCTTCAAACATATGGCAACTTTCTGGCGATCGGTGACGGGGCCGTAACGAAAAAGCCTCTCTAGAAGCCTGTCTTTCACCGCAAACATACAATCTTTAAGCTCCAGGATGCGTTCCCGAGGGTCCTCCGAGAGCCCGACTTCCAGAGCCACTTCGTTCAA